AGTACATTCTCAAGTATTGCAGCTATCAACAAAAGAATAGTCTATCGAGTCATACGACAAAATACAAATGCCTACAACATAATATATTAGACAAAAAAAAACAATTAAAGACAATTTTGATCAACTTATTCAAATACTTTCAACATCTTTTGTACCCAATAAAATTCTCCTTTAGATAAATCTTATTTTCCAATAAGAAACTAGCGAATCATTATTGCCAGATTATTTTTAAATTATTCAGTTGAAGATTTACTGTAGAACATTGAACGTGGAAATTTTTTAGTCAAAATTCTGATCAACGAGACTACTAAGAATTGCCGCTAACATAAAAACTAACATTCAGTCCATAGAATGTAATTATTTTAAGAATAAACAATTTCAATTTTATCTAACTTAACTTTGGCATTCATAAACGGCAGAATTCGTATTTACAGGTACAATGATATTCTGTGTGGAATAAATAACTATTGGCTCGTATTGCGCATATTATTTGCATTCAGCAACGTCAGGGGTTCATTTTTCAAAGGTTGTCTGTGAAACCCGTTTTAAATCTTTTTATCAAACGGAAGAGATTAGGCTGAAGGCAGAGACCTAGCCTATGGTGAGGGTTAGAACTGCTACAGTCAAAGTGAAGTATATGTGCTATTATTAAATCTACTGGATGAAATAAATCTCGGTCACGCTTCATTACATTGATGCATGAACACTGTTGGTGAAATTTATAGTTTTTTCCACATGACAAAGTGAATGTAAGATTTGTACGAGACCTATCTCTATTTCAAAGCATCTATACGTATTCTATAGTATATTATTCTTTTTATTTGATAGTTATTACTTAGCAATACATAAATTATGGACCTATTTCAATATTGACATTAGTTCTCTTTTCTTCGTATGAATAGATTAAAGAAAAAGAGATTGTGGCAATAAATATTTTTTCGGCAGTTGAATCACAAGAAGTTATACATCAATAATATTCAATCTAATGTCAACTGTAAGTAAAATCTGAGAGCAAATAAAAGTTTAGTACATAACTAGACCTTGAAATTTAACTACGAGAACTTCATTTATAAATAAATGGATTACTGACACCATATTAATTTACAAAAATTCATAAGTTAAGCAAGATATTTATTGAATAATGAATGATAACTTTGAACAACTTGTCAATGCACTTTCCATAACTCCTTTGTCAATTGATATTCATTCAAAACTTACAGTTCTGATCGAACAACAAACTTTCGAATCTGATTCGTGTTTATTTCTCAATCGATACAATCATTAGTCATTCTAGAAAACTGGGCATGACAACGGCTCAGCTATGATTCTCATCAGTGGATCAATCAATCAGATTATTTAACTTTATTTCATACACTTTCATCATTTAATAAAAATCTAATTATCAATTTCGATAATATTGAAGTAGAAACAAAAGCATTACTTCTTATTTCTTGTACAGTAGATCAAGTTAATAGTATATTTGAAGGAATTAATCAAAGTAATGACGATAATGATCGATTTATTGCCATCATTAGTGTTTGGTTTGATAATTTAGCATTTTTCATTAATGAAGATCCTCAGTTTGACACATCACCTATTATTTATCATATCAATCAATATATTGGACGCAACTATGTTATGACTGATCAATTCAAATTTTATTTAACTCAACTTCAACAACAAACAAACTTACCAAAATCAATATTTACTACTAAACAATTATTTTATATAAAAATATGTTCATTATCTTTAAGTTCATATTTAGCTGCCAAAGCTCAAAATTTTCTTTTTACTGCTGAAGAGATATTACATCATGTTGGCAATCAGTATTTACAAATAATTAATATTCATAGTCATACGATGGAATCGTGGAGTGACGAACTGCTTATTTGTATGACTTATCTTACGGCTTTTATTTGTGGATGTTGTTGGTGGGGCGGAGAAAAAAATAACTCACGTAAAAATACTCTTTTCCACTGAACAAATGTGTTGTGATTTTGTACAAGGACTTATGCGTATAAATAGTTATCAACCATTTTATGAAGTAATTAAAAGTGAACAATCGAGTAATGTATTAATTTTAATTGATGTCATTTTACAATTTTTATTATATATATTACAAACACAAAATATGATTTGTTTTTTTCGTTCAAATATATTATCACCCGATATACTTTTGATCATTGCTGAAAATTCATCGTGTGACAAACTCTCTTTATATGCATATGCCGTTTTAAGTGAAGTTTTAACTGATGAAAAATTAAAAGGATTAAAAGTTACTGACAGCATCTGCAATTTTCTCTTTGATATACTTGAACAAGGATGGTAAAATCCATTGAAAAAATATAAACAAATGCCATTTATATATTTATTAAGAAGTGAATCGTTAGTAAATATTTATTTGATAAAAGTTAAATTCTCATATTTTCTAGGCTTTTCGACTCTATCAAAGAGCAGTACTATTCAACAAAAAGTTGCTGATGGATAAAAGTTATCACTTTTTATTGAAATGTGTGATAAATATCCAATTGTATATGATATTATATGGGCATTTTCATTTAATCAAGATATTCAACAACAACTTCGTTCTAATTCAGCATTTATGTCTAAATTAACTC